GCTGGCTGGGGAATTCTGGGAGTTGAAGTCCACATATCTTAAAGTTGCTAAGGTTGAGAAAGGCTGACCTAGAGAGTGCAAAGCCATGAAATTGACTGGCCTGTCCTTGGCTTAATGCAAGTAATTGGAAATGTAATTGGAAAGACTACTCTCTTCTACTTCACTAGCCTGTTGAATCCCTTTCCCAGTGGTGGTTGTTCCCAGAAGCTTCTGGAACCTCATGTAATATTATTAGGTAGCTTGCAGCTAATTTTCTTACCTCCATAGCTAAACTCCTATCTCAAATTGCAGGTCATCAACAGCACTTACTCAGTAGCTGCACAAATCTGAGAAACCACTGGAAGGGAGTTTCCACCTATTTGTTGAAAGATCAACTGGTTGATCCATAGTTTTGAGAAATTAGTTGAACTGTAGAAATTTTAAAAATATTCAGTTGATCTCCAGGAAGATAGGAAGGGAAAAATGTACTGCATAGAATAACTAGAACCTTGTGCATGCCAGTTGGAGATAGCTTTTCTTGTGGCAGCGAATGGTGAGTGGGGGTGGAATGTCAGCAGAGGGAACCACCAGTCACAGCCCTTAAAATGTTGCAAGCTAGATGTATGGACAGCAACATGGGGCAGACTATTCTGGGTGTGTGTTAAGGATGCACTGTGAGGACAGCAAGATTTAAGGAAGCATTACTTATTTCTAGTTCCAGGACTGAGGGCAACACAGCAAAGCAGTTGCGTGAAACTGTCCATAATCTTCTGGCTCCATTCCCTTGTTCTCCCTGACAGACGGGCAAGAGGTCTCAAATCTGTGCTTGCTTAGCACTACACTCTTGGAAATTACTTGTGCAATAATATAATTTGTTTCCTGTAGATTGAGTAGATTACTCATTCTGCAGGGAGTATAGCATGTTTATGATTCGTTGTTTTTATGACAGTCGCTTTAATTAAATAATACGCTTAAAGTGTGTTTTTTGTCATTTACATTGGTACAGGTTTAGAAAAAGAAATACAGTGGTAGAATCATTATCCAGTTTAGTTTTAAAACAATCTGTAGATCAGCTGAATGAAGGTAAGAAAAAAAGGGGTGAGATATTTTCTTTTTAAAGTATGTACTTCTTGTTGATTTGATTGGATATATATAAATAAGTTGTGAAAAATATGTACAACTTAATTTTTGCAAAATAGATTAGGACTCTTTTCTAGAAGTCCATTTTCTTTATTTTTATTTAAAAGCATTTTTACCTTTTCCCACTCCCGTAAACAAGGGAAAAAAATGGGCCAGATTATCAGTATTTTTTGGTTCCATTTTGATCTGCCTTTTGGAACTTTGGGGTCAAAGGGTGAGAATCAGACCCAGACTGATTTTGGATAGCAAACTGCCCCAGTCTTCATCCTTAAAGATCCAAAAGCCATGAGAGGCTAAAAATTGATTACCAATATAATCTTTTAAAAATGTGAACATTTATTTTTAATTTTGGTTTAGATGTTGCTACTTCCCATTCAATTAATAGGCCCCTTTCATTTCCTTATCTTACACTGGCAACAAAGTGGGAGGGCCATTTTAGGGTGTTATGTGCACAAGAAGACTTGCCTGAATCTGATTTAGAGTTCAATATTAACCAGCTCCGTAGCTGACCTCCGTTACAAGCTCTGAAATAACAGGCCTTATAAAACACCTTAAGTCTGGCAATGATCCACGTAATAATTTTATTGCTCTTGAAATCTTATGCAGTAATTTGGAATGGTGGACCTCTGTACTTGCTTCCTTGTTCACCTATATCAATCACACTGTGCAAATGTCAAAGGACTGGGGTCTACCCATTATAGTGCCCATCTTTAAAAAGGGTAGTCAGGAAATCCCTGCTAACTACTGGCCCAGCAGCCTTCTAAGTGTAATAAGTAAGCTCTATGCTAAACATCAACACAACAAATTGGATGATTCGAGCAATTTAGATATTAGTCCAGCAGATGAGCAAGCATGTTTTAGAGCCAGATACTCTGTTCTTGGGGGGACGCGGTGGCGCAGAGGCTTAATGACATTGAAAGTTGCCGGCCAGAAATGGTCGACACTTCAGCGGTTCGAGCCAAGCCTTCGGGTAGCAGAGTGAGCTCCTGCTTCCTCCCCCAGTTCCTGTCAACCCAACAGTAAGAATACTTACATGAGTAGATAAATGGGTACTCTCACTCCGGTGGGAGGAAAATGCTGGCGGTGCCTTGCAAAAGGAATCGGGAGCAGTTGCTGGTAGCGCGGAAGCCGCGCTCGCCCAAAAAAGGCGCAAAGCAACGAAAAACCCCGCCTCCTGCGCTTGCCAGCTGGGCTCTCCTCTAGAAAGGAGGCTCTGGCAAACCACTTCCAAAACACCTTGCCTTGAAAA